TCTCCACCTCAACACTTTCCTGAAGCCCTTTGAAGGCGGCGAGGATGGAAGGAAGGTTGAGCCTGCTGGAGAGGATGTGGTGTCATTCATCTTGCAGCTCAGACCTCTCCTCTGTGAGCTCTTCTCCGTGACTGGGTGCAGTTTTCGTAGAGCACGCCTGTGTGTCAAGCAGCGAATGGGCTGGGTGTAATAAGGGCTTATCTTTTTCACAAAATGGAAAATGGAGCAGATGATTTCCATGTTGATAATTTTTTTTTTAAAGCATACCGTACTAATTATATACCATTGAAACTACCAACGCAATTCCCCCCCCGCCCCTCATATTTTTACCAAAGCTTGTGACAGAAAAGTTACTTTTGATGCCTAAAGTGTTACGCAGACGACAACAAAAACAAACTGGAGGAAAACTGTGGGGCTGTGCTTCTTATTCCCTGGCAGTCCCAGAGAGGGGGCTTACTGCCTTGGTTACAAACAGACTGATCCTGTACACAAAGAGAGACGACACGTCACATTTCAGACCCAAGACTGATAGCCGTTTAAGAAATAAAAGTGCAGACAGGTCATGCCAAAATAATTTCCATAATTCCTTGAAGTTTTAATAGCTGATTTAACAGTTGAGCTGACCATCCTCTAAATTATTAGTGGAATTAATTCTTTGTTTCATAAGGATCCTATTTAGGGCAAAAGGCCACAAGTGAAATGATTGATTTATGAATCACTATTTAAGTACAGTATCAAAACATGTTTTAATTGCCCATCTAATACAAGACTTAATATGTGTCTTTTTCTTATGCAGCTTTGAACTGTGTCTTCTTTAGGAATAGTTCTGGTTAATCACAGGATCCTAATCAATTGTGATATCAGTGGCTGTTCTATTAGAGTAGTTATTTTATTGAATCCTTAACAGAGCTATTTGTTGGGTTAGATCATTTTAATTATGTTCAACTACTAATAGTTTTAAACAATGCTGAATGAACTGCAACATTTACTATGAGGGATGTTTTTTTATATAAATCCCACAATATTCTATTTAAGTTGTTTCATGATAGGGGAATTAATTACCTTCTAACAGATAAGCTGGTACAGGCAGGTGAATAATTAGCTCAACTACCTAATTAAGAGCTTGGGTAGAAATCAAACTAGTAGATACTGTGGTGTTTAAGGAGTGCAGGTAAAGTGTGGATATAAACATTAATACACTATAATACTAAATACCTTTACTTTTAGGGATAACTACATTATTTATTTTGATTGAGTTGTTTTCCAGATTTATAAAATGTATAAATGTAAGCACTCACCAGTCACTTCAGAGGCAAAAACATCTGCTCTTCCTGAAAGGACCAAGTACATCATAGAACCAAACCTTGTGACCCTTAGTACAGGCACAATCACTCTAATTAGACAAACATTTAAAGATATGTGCATGCTCAGTAGGAGATCAAGGGAAAAGAACAGAGGACAAATATGTACACATAACTAGAAAGACTGTGATAAAGAACACTTGCTTTCTTTATCTAATGTTTGTTTGTCTACTGAGTGGACAATCACATGTCTACAATGTGTTTACCTGTAAATCATAAAATATTCCCCCCCAGAATACATGTTTTTGGAAAACAACCAAACAAGATTAAATAATCTGGGGAATCCTGACAAGTGAGGAAAGGTATTTAATATTGTATTGATGGATTTAAATAAGCACTTAAAGGAACATAGACCTAGAGGCTTGTCCAGTTCAGGAGCAGCACAGGACACTCTAGACCTGGGGTGTCCAGGCTTGGTTCAGGAGGTTTGGTGTGTCTCCAGGTTTCTACTTGTAGGTCTCTTACAGATCTCCTTACAACATGGTGTGAAGACAACAACCTCACCCTCAACGTCAGCAAAACCAAGGAGCTGATCGTTGATTTCAGGAAACTGCAAAACGGACATGCCCCTCTCCACATCATCAGGACTGAAGTGGAAAGGGTCAGTAACTTCAAATTCCTTGGCGTCCATATCACCGAGGACCTCACATGGTCTCTCAACGCCACCTGTCTGATCAAGAAAGCGCAACAGCGCCTGTACTTCCTAAGACGGTTGAAGAAGGCTAAGATATGTCCCTAGATCCTCATTAACTTTTACAGATGCACTACAGGAAGCACACTGACAGGTTGCATCACGGTGTGGTATGGCAACTGCAGTTTTGCTGACTGCAGAGCCCTACAGTGAGTGGTGAAAACTGCCCAGTCCATCACTGGGGTAGTTCTCCCATCCATCCAGGACATTTATGACAGACGGTGCCTGAGGAAAGCTCTAAGCATCATCAAAGACCCCACACACCCCAGCTCCAGACTGTTTGACCCCCTACCATCTGGAAAACGGTACCGGAGCATTCGGGGCCGGACTACCAGACTCAGAGACAGTTTTTACCCCCGCACTACCAAACTATTAAACTCCCGGCCTCTCTCACCTATAATCCGAACCCTTAATTCCTTCTCTGTTTATCAAAACTGTCAAAACTCAAATACACATTGAAATCTACACCTACCTCATATGTCAAGAAGTTCTCTCACAAGATGGCATCTAACCCTGCCCAAATGCCATGCAGTCTACGCCAGAGTAGTGTGTTTCATAAGATTGCATAGGTTCCTTTAAAGCAGCAGCTCCTGAAGGGATAGGAGAAGTTGGCAAACAGGTCTAGTTACAGGACCACTGACAAGCTATGTTAGGTCACTTGGGTTTGATAACCTTCTTTACCTACAGCAGGTTTAGGTAGTTAAGACCTGATTTTGAAAGAAAACCCTCAGGCACTCTCACCGTCTAGAAGTGAAGCACAACCCAGCCTGATAACAGTCTAACCGAACAGCTTTCCATGATGGAAGAGACGGGAATTACTCAAATCCGGACTTATTTTGGTTAACATAATGCTTATGAACCCCTACGATGAACTGCCTTCCAGGTGTAGCACTGTTTCGGTCCTCTGTGTTTCTTTTAGATCATTTAGAGAGCACAAATAAAGAGAAAAGAAATGTATACTATTGTAAAATTATACCCTGAGACACTTAAAAACATAACTAAAACTGAGGTCTTTGAATAAAAGCCGTCCCTTACACGGCAGGATGATGGAAGAGTCTGGAATCTCCGATTTTCACAAAGCATGTCATCAGTCCTCTTATATTTGACTTTGCAAGAGCTGAAGGAGCACAAGTTCAGAAACAAGTGTATCTCAAGTTCGTTTCACTCCAGTTGGATGTTAGTCATAAGAATAATATTACTTTTGTCTAATTGTTATTTTTATTGTGACATACCTCTCTGTTACCATCATCAGACTCTGATTCACCTGCATATCTTAATCACTTAATTAAAAGAACTGTATATCTGTCAGATTACAGAAGCTCCTATCAGTGAGTCACCTCATCCTAATGGGAGCTACAAATAGTCTTCAAAGTTCTGGGCTGGACATGATGTCTCTATAATACATTGATGGATTCAAAGGCATTTGGGAGTGTGTGAAGAGTGTATCGGAGGACAACGTATTTTTCTGGGCTCTGTGGTAATATTTAAATGACCATTTAAATAACTTAAATTTCCACGTGACGTCCTCTGTCGTTTTCAACTCGTGTTCTGTGAAGAAACCATTAAACCGGAATTGTAGCAGTCATTAATCCTGATCCTCGCTCAACTCCTTCAGTTTTCCAAATGAAACAGAAAAAAAGATCCAACAGGCATTGTGAATATATGAATACATGTGATTAATTATTCAGTAGTGAGCCTTTTTTTTGTTTCTGACACCGTGAACGCGGACCTAAAACACAAAGCAAACACGTCTTCGTGTTTCTGTACATTTACGCTTACGTAAAACCGAAAAGGAAAAGATTTTGAAAACCCGTCTGCGCTCTGGATATGACTTACTCTCTTGCATGGGATGCTTCGCTGCCTTCAAGACCCCACCCCGCTCCTCCCACGATCCCCAGCGAACACGACACGCAGCGCCGCCATTGGCCAGGGCCCTGTGAGCGTCACGCCGAGGAGCCAATCGGGGGCTGGATCTGCCTCGCCGGCCCCGCCCCCGGGCTCTTCCTCATCGGTGAACTAGAGCGGATCAAAACTTGTCGACTGTCGGCGGCTCACGGGAGAAGTGGGGCAGCCTTAAACTTGGTGTTTTTCCCCCCCGTAAACGGATTAAACTGTGAACGTTACGCGGCTGGTAAACCTTCTCCCCGGCTTATCTCTCGCGGGCGATGTCTAGGACTTTCTTCCTGTTTTTTTTGACCGGGGGTTCGTAAAACAGGAGCTCCGAGAGAGAGAGAGAGAGAAAGAATGAGGGTCTGAGCACATTTTCATGTGGGCAGGATTTAACGTCACTTACTATTGTGTGTGTGGGACTGGGAAGCGTGTGTCATTAACAAAAGGCAGAAT